TGAGTTTTACAGAACACTTTGGCTTACGTTAGATATGCCCATATCGGATTGAATAATCCAAGTCTGTATAATATGAATTCCTCTTTTAAAACCAAACACACAGGCTGCACAGCAAATTTCAGCAACAAATTGGAAACAAAAAATGTCCAAAATGCACTTGACAAATCATATCATAATATAAGAAATAGCAGTAATCGAGCTTCAAATAAACAAGATTGAGAAGCTCATTGTTAATCACGGTAGTAGACGAGTCCAAAGAAGGCGAAAATTCATTCATTTAAAAGGAAAAGAATCTCCAAAGAACTACCTGGCTAAAGGAGAGAGAATCAGAGCGAAACCGAGTGCGTTCACCCTTGTCGCACTTGATGGAGGTGGAGACGTTAGGAACAACAACGCCGCCGGGCAGGACCAAGTCCTTGGTGGAGCTCTGTTGAATCTCAATCAGTCCGGAGCCCGAAGGCCCGGGCTTGCAGGCTGACAGTCTGATATCGGCCGTCAAGTCGTACCCGAACCCGATCACGGAAACCGCCCGCTCCGCCGCCGTCTGTTGGTCCATCAGATGGGTTGGATTGAACGACATGGTTGGAGGATTTTTGCTGGGATCTCTTCTTTTCTCATGTGAAGAGTAGTAAGATGAAATCTCGGTCTAAGTTTTCATGTTTCAAGGTTTGAAAGACGGGAAAAACCCTGGTCGGTTTCGAAGGAGTCGGAGCTCGGCCTGGGTAATCTGGTCATCTCGTTTGTTTATTAGTCAGGGACGAGGACCGAAAATAGATTCTTTGTCAAGGGTTATTTGGGCAAGACAAAAGTGATTCTTGGGTGCGTGGTGTTGACTTTGACTGGGGCGCAGTAATAAAGTTGGGGAAATGTGACCTTGATTTTTTGTCTTCACAGCGCAAGTCTACAGTGAGGACGGTAGTGCCGCTAGGGCTAACCGCGGATCTCGGAATTCCCGTTCCGTACCGAGGAACCGTCCCGTCCCGTACCAAAATCGAAAGAACCGGAAAAATGTAATATCGTACCGTACCGAGCTTTTTTAATAATATCGTACGGTACCGGTTCTTAGGGAGAACCGTCCCGGTACCGTATTGAACCAAACCGTCTCGTATCGTCCCGAATTATCCCGAAAACTAGTGTTATAATATTATAATATATTATACGTAGTATATAATATACTCTCGAGTATAAATGTTAGTGACCGTATGTCCCGAAAACTAGTGTTATAATATAATAATATATTATATATAATATATTACCGAGTATAAATGTTAGTGACCGTATGTCCATATATTACAAATATGCAATCTTGCATATTCTTTGGGCGTAATCCAATTATTAAGACTTGACAGCACTAAAAGTTACCTTTCAAACAAAAACAATACTAAATGATATAAACAATGCTACGTAAATAAGGTCAGTTATATTTCATGGGGGTTAATTATTTAGGAACCAAATAACATCGGAGAACCGTACCGAATCGTACCGAACCGTACTAAAAATTGGTACGGAACGGGACAGGTTCTATATATATGCGGGACGGTACCGGTTCTTGATTTTTAAAAGAACCGTACTTTGGGACGGGACAGTTTTTTTTTTTTTGAAATAACCGTCCCGTACCGTCTCATGCTCACCCCTAAGTGCGGCACTCAAGATATACTCATTAATTATTAGTCTCGAGATCGTTGTAATTTACCGTTTTCAACGTAAATAAAGTACGGAGTATTTTTTAGCATATATACAGTCTAAGCTTTAAAATCCGGTTCATTAGTTACTTTTTCGTGGGATTTTGTAATGATGCCTGAATACGAATTTTAGAAATCGATAAGATCTTTCCAATGAGATTGAAAATGTTTTAAACGAAACTACATACAACAAGATATGATAAGATCAACTTCGTGTTTAGAGTGAAATCAGGAATCTTTGTTAATTTTAAGTTAATATGTACCTTACGCTTAATGCATTGTCGATTGAGTCAGAATAATAGATTTAGAAATCATGACCATTCCAACTGTCGAAAATTATTTTACTGTGATCAATTTGTTTTAATTTAGTCTTGTTTTATTTACCCTTTATGGCATACAGATGAAATAAATAGAATAGGCTTTTAAGGATAAGAGCCTCATCTCCACAAGGACAGAAAAAGGGAATTAAGAATTAAATAAATTTAGTGATAAAAAAATGAAAAAACATGCAATTGTGCGAGATTTGGATTTTTGGAAAAACTAAAGGTGTTGATGGAGTATATTCCCATATACCCCATGGGCATCATAATCGCCGTTCAAAAAGGCATCACAAAATACTTAAGCACCATAGTTCCAACCTAGGCCGACCTTGACCCTCCGAGGTCAGGGCTAACACGAGACGACGAATCGACAAAGGACAGAAGACTCAGTCGAGGCCGAACTCGACCCCCAGAGGTCGGCAAAACATTGAGCTCATGAATCACCCAGACAAGGCAAAATATGAGGCCGACCTCGGGCACACCGAGCTCGGCCCCAACTTTGACCTCTGAGGCTGACGTGGGGTCAATCAAGGTTAAGCGAAGTCAACGAATGAGTCAACGCTAACATACAAGACCGAAGATCAGAGATAGATCCTCATGTAGTAAGTGCAAATACCCGAGCTCTGGTCTGGGGGAGCTCGGGGTCTCTCTAAAGATATATGGACTTAGGCATTTCTCGAATGGAAGTACTACACAAGCTACCGCCACGTCACCAGCACTCCAAGAAGTGCCATGTCACCCCCAGCGGATAAGGTGAAGGATATTCCAGATGATACATGTGTAACCCGCACGTGTATTCTGGTATCAGTTTGTTACTTGTAGTTCTAATCAGCCAGCTGTCCCACTTATCTCTCCAATGACCTTTACACGTGTCAACACTCCATTAGACCAGTCTGATTATTCTGTTACGCATGTAGGACACGTGCCCACTCCTCATTAGAATGGCATATTTTTACTTGGGCATCAAGTATTACCTTTTTAGTATAAATATCACCTTACAACATGTGGAAAGGGATCCGCAATACAATTATCTTGTTATTACTCCGCTGAAATCCTTACTCGATCTTACTTAAGCTTTTCCGATCTTCTCCCTTACTTTGCCAGATTCCAGCTACCCCCCAGAGTCGGCAATCCATCATTTTGGTGTTTTAATTGAGAGAAGAATGGTAAATCAAGTCTAGATCTTCCCTCTTTCCCGAGATCTTACAGCAAGCTTTTATTCCAACAACAATGGCGGGAGGAAAGAGAGTTATGCGAAACAGACGCGCTACTGTCGTCTTCGCTCAACCTCAGCGTTCATGGACATGTGGATTCTCATAGATTTGGTCAAATAGATGATCAATATCCACTGTATTGGGGTCAGGTGAGGGATATGATGTGGGGAGCTGTGCTATAACACCAGTGATATCGGGTTCTGAACTGATATGTCCAGAAGCCTATTCTTCCTTTTCGTCAAAGGTCACATTAACACTTTTAATGACCTTCCTTATGTCTCTGATATAAACTCTGTAAGCTTTAGAAGAAGATGAATAGCCGATAAACACGCCATTAAATGCTTTCGAATCAAGCTTGCTCAGATCTTCTCTATCATTAGCAACGAAGCACTTGCATCCAAAAACTCTTAGAAAAGAAACGATGGGAGTACGGAGGTTGATCCGCTCATGTGCTGCCTTTCCAAACCTTTTATGAATTGAAGTCATGTTCTGAGTGAAGCAAGCAGTGTTAATTGCTTCAGCCCAGAGAAACTGTGGGAGTTTGGAATGGATATATAGGCATGGTTCTAGGAGCTTCGACAAGAGTTCTATTCTTTCGCTCAACTACCCCGTTCTGTTATGGGGTCTTTGCTGCAGAGAATCGTTATATGATTCCATGCAACTCATAGAACTCACTAAGCTTCTGATTCCTGAACTCAGTGCCATTGTGAGAACGAATGAATAGAATGGTTGCTTGGAGTAGATTCTGCGTGATTCGTATGAAGGTGACGATGATGTTAGCTGCCTCGTCTTTAGAGCGTAAGAAGCGGATCCATGTGTACTGTGAGTAGTCATCTACTATTACCAGAATGTATTTCTTCTCATTGATACTTTGTGTACGCATGGGCCCACAAAGATCCATGTGAAGTTATTCCAGAGAACGCCTAGTAAATGTTGTCATTTTCACCTTATGAGAAGCTCTTTTCAATTTTCCAAGTGTGCAATAGTCGCACAGATGATCATTTTGCGTTTGAAGTGCTGGCAGACTAGTAACAACCTTCTTTGATGACAATGTATGTAGATCCATGTAGTTTAGATGAGACCCCCTCTTATGCCACAATTGATTTTGTTCAGAAGATGCTCTTGACGGCAAACAGACATCAGAGGGGGATAAACAGTTTTCAGAACAATGGTGTATACACTTGATTATCGTCTACAGCTCAGAATGGTCTTCCCTTGATCATCTTTCACGCAACACTGATTAGCTCGGAAAATAACTTGCATTCCTTTGTCACAGAATTGGCCGATGCTAAACAGGTTGTACGTTAATCCAACAACGTATGACACATCTTTGATCATAACCTTTCTGTTACAGATATTTCCGTATACAAGGATAAGAGCAGACTCACTGTTTCCAAATCTCACTTTTCCACTGAACTTGTCGATGTGGTTGCTCAACAACTCTTTCTTCCTAGTCATGTGTGTGGAGAAACTTGAATCTAGATATCACACATGACTGACCTACAAAAATCAAGTAACCTTAGGTACCATTTTAAGGATGGGTCCGTCATGTTTATTTGAAGAAATAATTAAAGTACTTTTTATTAATTTCACTTTTAGGAATCCAAATTTGATTGACTTTTGGAACATGTTCAGATTTGTTCGGGAAAGATGAGTGAGTATCTTTAACATTTGTGAATATTTTCTCTCTATCTAATCTTTTAAGATGTTTGATTAAATAAACTTTCAGAGGATAATTTAAACAAACACCTTTACAAGTAGAGAAATTAACACAACCATTATTAGCATTCACATCACTCAGGTCACATTTTAAAAAAGGAGAAATTAAATTATCACACTTAAAATCATCACTAGAATAAGAGTCAACAGATCTAGAATGAGAAGAAGGAAACTTAGGTGAACTGTCTGAAATATAACTAGAGAAACTAGTAGAAGAACTAGAAACGAAAACAATTTCTAAAACTATTACAAGACTTTTCAACAAAATTAAAGATTTTAGAAATATTCTTGGGTTGCTCAAGTCTTGTCTCCTTGACAGCAGCATTCTTCAGAATCCAAGTCATCATTCCTGCATGGTGATTAGAAAAAGATTTTCCTGTATGGGGAGGTGGGGAAGAAGATAAATCCATTTTCTTTTTAAAATGATTTTTCTTTTATTCTTTTTAGAAAGGACATTTTCAGGAGTCTTCGAGCCTTGATAGGATTTGCTAGTTAATTCTAAAATTTTCTTTAAAAGATTTTCATTTTTCCGTTTTGAACTGTTCTCGCTCTTCTTCAAAAGAAGAATGAAGATCAGCCATTTTCTTTATTGTAGCATGAAAATATGGTTCAGAAGCCTTTGAAGTCGAGGCTTCATTCTCATTGGACACATTTTGATTTTCAGGAGGGGAGAGGGCAATATATAGTCATCAGACAGAGGAATAGACAGAGGAATTTGTCTAGTAGCATAGCTGTCATTTAGAGCAGTATAGTCAAAACTAATTTCAGCTTTAGCTCTATTTTCCCTCATGTCATCTTCTTCCTCATTAATTTCAGAAGCACTAGTGAAAAACATTAAATTTGCTAACCCTAATTTCTTGAACCTAATGTCTTAAAAGTATTTGCAATTACTTTTCTTTGGTTTACCTAGGTTTTGAAAGCCTAGTCCTTCTTTAGGCTTATAAAATTCAATGTCCTTTGCTCTGTTATTTAATAGAAAAACAGTTTGTTCTGACTGACCTCTCTTAGCAAGAATATCTTCTAATTCCTTTAGTTTTGAATAAAGACGACCATGTTCCTTATTATTAAGTTCAAAATGAGTAACAGTTTCAGAACGTTTTCGCCTATTTTAATTTAGATCCTTAGTTAAGTCACAAGCAATTTTCTTCAGTTTATCTACTTCAGATTCTAAGCTAGCGACTTTATCTTGTGAAATTTTCAGGCGAAAACCAAGACGTACTTCGTGTTCCATATGGCTTTCCAGACAACTTTGATTATTAACAAGTTTGTCTTCAAGTTCCTTTATTTTATTTCTCTCTTGTTTTAAAGAAGAAATTTGCTCATTAATTTTAGTGCATTGCTTGGTAATTAAAGAATTCAGATTACTTACCTCATTCTCAGTAGATGGAGAACTGATATCTTTCTCAGAGCAATCACCATCACTATCAGTACTTGTCACGCAAGCCATCAGCGCCATGTTCTCAGGATCGCTATCATCGGAATCTTCCAGCCAGTGGTCATGTTCAGCCATCAGAACTACTCCTTGTTCTTTTTGTTTAGCAAGTTGTGCTTTCTGCATGTAGTAGTTGAAGTCTTTCTTCTTTGCATATCTTCACTCATTGGCAAAATGACTAGGCTTTCCACATTTGAAACACTTTAGATGACCTCCACTGACAGCTTTATCAGAAGGTCCGCTAGCTTTGTCAGTATAATTGAATGAAGAAATTCTTTGCTTATTGGATGAAGGTCGGCCTCTAAACCCAGTGAACTTCTTATTCATCTTCTTTGCAAGATTAGTTAGCAAAGGTAGCTCTTTGTTCAGCTCGTTGATCTCAGGATTAGAATCAGACTGGTTCTTTTCTTATCGGATGACTCAGCTTCAATAGTGATTTTGGGTGCCTTGTCTAGTTTCTTCCTTTTAGTAGATAGAAGAGCAATAGAATCAACAATATTCTTTTCTTTAGAAGTTTTCACCTTTTCATGCACACCCTCAGAAAATTCTCCAAGGCAGCCATAGACGTTGTGGATGGTTAGCTCATCCAAATCTTTATTTTGTCTAATTCTTTTAGCTGTTTTCTTCCATTCTGGTTTGAGAGACCAAAGAAAGCGCAAATTGACTTCCATATTAGTCTTATGGATATTAATCTTCCTCATTAGATACCATTAGTAATTAAGTATCCTCAAATTCTCCATCAGCTCTAGCAGAAAACGAGTAATATGCAGTAAGTGTGTAAGCTCGTTTGGTCTTTATACAAACATCAGTTCCTTGCATAATTTGGTGAATCTCATCCCACATGTCTTTAGCCGTCGTGAGGCTGTCAATTTGCATAAAGAGCTCATTGGAAATAGATTGAAGCAGATAAGTAGCAGCAAGGAGATCAGCTTTAGCTCTGAGCTTTTCACGTTTAGTATACTCGTCTTCATTCTTGAGCGTTCTACTAGGAGATGTGGGAGGATTTTTAGTGTCATCAGTAGCGACTTCAACCCAATATTCAATTGGTCCTTCATTAAGAGATTTGGGAATAATTTTGCCCTTATCTCTGCTTCAGATGAAATTAAGAAATCTGGTTGTCTAGATAGTAAATTCACCTCTCCTTAGAATTAGAGATCTTGAATCACTTCCCATAGTGTAAGCTTCCATTGTAAATATTGACTGCTGGTGATATTTGAGCGAGAACTGTTCTGAAAAAATTAGAATTCGGTGCTGCTTAATAAAGATTTCGGTTCTGATTTCGGCTGATGATCTCGAATTGATCTCGGTTGTCCTTGTGGATCTCGGGTTCCCTGCAAATTCAAGAACTTTTGTTAGCAATCAAGAGATCTCGGGCCTGCTTGTTGAAATACACTGATCTCGGGTCAGCTTAAGATTTCAAAGCAGATCTCAGATGTGGGCCGAAGAAAGAACTCGATTGTGAATCTCGGTTGCTAATGTAGGGCCTGATTTCGGTTGATGATCTCGGGTATGGGCCGAATTCAGAATTTCGAAGAGATCAAATTCGGGTGCCCGAGTTTTGCTTTGTTGCCGAAATCTGATGCTTGAACAGAAATTGCCCTAAATAGGAGTAAAAACGTTTTGAAATTCCAAAATAGGAGTATCATGTTTTTTATTCCCTAAATAGGAGTAATCTGCCAAGTTTGGAAGAAAATGCCATGTTTAAAGCCTTGTAATGCCCAAACTTGGCAGAAATTTACTCCTATTTAGGGAATAAAAAACATGATACTCCTATTTTGGAATTTCGAAAAGTTTTTACTCCTATTTAGGGAATTCTCTCATGCTTGAATTCCTTTAGATGACCGAAATCGGAGACTTCGATAGAACGAATTGAGTAACTTGAGCAGCGTAGGGTTTCCGCCGTGTTCTTCCTTCTTTCCAGCAGCAGCCTTTCCAAAAATAACAACTTTCCAAGAACAATTCCAAAATTAATTCAACCAAAACTTGTGATTTTGATCAAATTAATTCCAGAAAAATTCTCAGATTCGAACAAACTGAATTACGCCGAGACTCTGATACCAATTGTTGGAGAATCCCATATCAACATGCGATTAACTAATAAACAATAACATGTAGAAATTAAGAAGTAGAAGAATAATTCATCAACATTCAATACCGTATATTCATAATGATGTAGCAATAACGCATAATACATGTATGAACTGTTGAGAGAGAATAATAGAGGTGCTCTGCAAAAATAATAGGTGCGTAAATATTTGTGTAGAGACTTAGGATGTTCGAACCATCTATGCCTGTATTTATAGGGAGAGAATCAAGCATCCTATTACAATTAGGAAACATATGAGGCGTGCGTGCGTGCAGGCTTTAAACAGATAAAAAGCTTATTTCTCTCTCGACTAAAAGCCTGCTAATACTAAGACTAATTAATCAAAGATAATTACAATTAATTTGTAAATAATGTTCTAACAAGGAAAGTGTAAGGGGACAAGATAAAAAGAAGATTAACAAAATAAGTCATATACTCGTTCGGGTATAGGTAATACCCGATCGGGTATTGAGTTGATTTGGGTGTCAAAATCAGAATCTGGAGAGACCAGAGAACGTGCAAGATTTTGAAGATTTGGCTCATACCCGACCGGGTATGTTCTGAAAAGTGACTTTCCGAGAAACTGCCTAAAATACCTGATCGAGTACCCTTTATACCCAACAGGCAACATCTTAAATCCTTGAAGCCCCAAACCAAACAAATCATCTGGCCATCGCGCAATTCGCGTGTTATCCGAGGCAATCATCTAACTCCCAGCAACTCACAATCGGCAATCAAGCAGTCAAGCTTCAGAGTCACGTGACCACACCGGACCGCCAGGGCTCCCGCCTCTTGGTGCCAGTTTGCTGACCGTCGTTCTTGTCCCGCCAACCGCCGTTTTTCCATTCTTGCCTTTCTTAATTTAATTATATATTTGATATTTCATTACTGAATTTTTACAATTCATGAATATGAGTTGAAAATATGTATACATGTAGTGTCAACTATTTAATGATTTATCTTGTGTCAACTATTAAGATGACTATAATGAATCTAATGATTACATATTGTTTGTATGAAATTATGAATTTATAATAGTTTGAAGTAATTATTTTTGTTTTAGGTAATTATTTTTAGGGAATGCTAATTGAGGTTTTTTTCCATAGACTAAGCATCGATAAATTGGGGTGCTAGTTCTTCAAATGTTTAGCACCATTACATCAGTGTTTTTGATTAAAAAAATATGTTTTATTGGTATGATTTGTTAAGACAATTTATTATTAATTTGATGGTTTACGTTATGTGATATGATTGTGCCCCCGCTTAAAAACATTTTCTAGTTTCGCCACTGTTGTAGCTTATTATAAAAATACTCCCTCTCGTTCAAATTTTCTCATGTTTTTTAGTCCGTTACACTGAAATTGTTTCATAACAAATTTGGTAAAATTTTGTTGTTTTGAATCATTCGTATTTTATTCTTACTTTACCAATTTAATACCAACCACTTAAATCTACTTTTTGTAATAACTGCATCACTTTCTTATGTCCCAATATTAGTGAGAAAAAGGTAGTATTAAAGATTTTATTAGAATGTATAATTTTTAGAGATAATTTTCCTCTGTCCCATTGAAATGTTCTTATCCACCATTCTCCGATTAACGTGAATTGTTTTAATATTTTACTTTATATATCCAACCTTAATCAAATTTTATTTTTCTGTTTGCAACTTTATGTAACTTTTAATGTAATTTCTAAATATGTAATCTTATATACTAAAAATAATCTTATTATTGGCATGGTTCGCTTAAATTTATGATCAATCAACTAATTGTAAACTGTGTGGGAAGTTCTAGTGGGACAGAGAGTGCCTTTTAATGTAAGAGTTCTTAATATAAACAAACAGGGGTATTAGTCGCATGATCTTATTTGTGAATGAGTAGAATAACAACACAAATCTTTGCAAAAAGAAACACAAATAATAGAGGGTACAAAATCTAGAACTTTTTCCATATAAAAAATGTGTGTAGTATATGAATAAGAGACCACATTTCACATGTGATTATGTGAATCCCAAAGAAACGAAAAGAAGAAAAGTCAGCCTCAAGGAAGGGGGCAGAGTAAACTTCACATGGAAATTCGAGTCGTTGTATCAAATGGAGGAGATCAGCCTCTTGGTATTCACAATTACTGGATGATCGTGAAGCGGTTTACTCGTGAACCGGCGGCCAACCAGATCACATGATCTCCGGCGGTGGGAGGTTGAGATCGAGGTCTAGGAGGGAGGCTTTCTTAGGTCTCAAATCACGGTTCACGTCGACCACCGAGGAAGAGTCAGACTCGCTCTGCGCAGCAGCGCCGTTGTGAACATTCGGATTTATGGACCCGCCGCGCGCGGCCGCGTTGAAACAAAGCATGTGATGCGCCGGCGGCGCAGCTGTCGGGTGCCCACTTACGACGACCGGGGCGACCCGGTTCTGATACGGCAGAACGGCCGCGGCGTATCGGCCCACAGATCCGCCGACGCTGAGATCCAATAGAGATGAATCGACCAAAGCGACCCGAGAGGGACGCCCGCCGTCGCGGCTGGAGGATTCAACGGTGCTGCACTGACTGGCACTGCGGTTGCTATTCCCGCCGCCGTTCTTTTCCACATCAGTTTTGTTGATGCCAAATTGGGCGCAGAAATCGAGAGGAATCCGCTCCCCCGCCATCGGGAAATTCGTTTTCGCCTTGGCACCGCGAAACTCCCTGGCGGCATTGTCATAGGCCCGGGCCGCCTCCTCAGCCGTGTCAAAGGTCCCGAGCCAAACGCGGCTCTTCTTCCCGGGATCTCTGATCTCCGCCGCGTACCTCCCCCACGGCCTCTTTCTCACGCCTCTGTAATGTACGTGCTCATTGTGCACTCCGCTACCGGTCTTGTCCGCCGCCGGGAATGCTGCCGCCGCCACCACCACAGTCTCCTTATCTTTAGGAGCCATTGCACTGGATCGATCCCACGTATCTTTATCAATGTATAATTAACCGCGCAATTAGTTATTCAATTAATAATTGCCTGTTTCTGGGAGAAAGAAAATGAAACGTAATGAAATTAGAAGGTGCGGCTGAGAGAGAGGAGGGGCGAGCCGCAGCATTAATAGGATGATGAGTCAAAAAAGGCGTTGACTAGAGGGAGATAGCTGCTCTACTGCATAAATGGGACCTCTCAACTTGCGTGGCCTTTCGTACTTGAAACCTTTGGATGCACGACTGCACGAGCTCGCTCTCTCTCTTTTTTTTTTTTTTGCAAAAGGAGATTTTATTGATATAAAATTAAAAGTGCAATCCGAGAAAGGAAAAAAAGTACATGAGTAAAAAAATAAAGTGCTAAAGAAAAGGAAAAGCATTACATATTGTGAATTCTTTTGAGTTTCCTGTAGATTTTTAGTTGCGTGTTCAAGCTATCGGTTGGCAGACAGTTTTTTCAGGTTACGAAATAGCTTTGAGGCATATCGCGCCCTTGAATTTAGATTTCCTGATTTCTTCTGGGTATGAAATGGGAGGTCGACGATTGGTTGGCAGACAATTTTCTGAGGTTGCATGCACGAGCTCTTTTATTCGTTTTAGAGCCGGTTTGATAACATCGAAATCGACTGAATCGGCTGATTCTGCTGATATTTAGGAAGTTTTGGCTGAAGTGACTACATTGACTGATTCTACTGAATGAAAAAATTATTTTTAAAATATATTTTAGTAATAAAAAAAGAAAAAATTATATGGAAAATATCTAAAATGGTCGTCTACATTAACTTCAGTCAATAGAGCCGGAGAGGTAACTTCAACCTTACCTTTTCTTATTATTACACAATTCAGCGCGCGAATCAAAAGTTACATGTTTGGTTAAAAAGTTGATTGATAAGTCTAATAAGTTGAAGAACAAGTTGATAAAATTTCACGGAATTAAATTGGAAATGAAAAAACAAACTTGTAATTTTAATTGAATCGTTTAGAATTATACTTCATACTGAATTAAAGTTTAATGTAAAATGAAACATATTCAATACCATTTAAACCACAAAATAGTAACATGCAGTATTAATATAATATGAAAATGCAATACATTTCATGTTAAATGTTATGAAATACTTCTTCATACACAACATTTTCAGTTCAATATTCATTGCTTTATCATCCTTTATAGTGTAATTTTTAACGCTAAGCGATTGATGTCACGCCCCGGACCTACCGGACACGTCAACAACCCGCCGTACAGTACGAATAGTCAACCGCAGTCCAACTCATTCATACTATACTAGGCGTCTTGAATACCATTCACACATAGTACATCCATAAACAAACATAATGTAAAATATTCATTTAAAGCAGCGGAAATACTTAATACAAGTGTTTATGCCACACTCTGGCAAACATGGGCGTACAAGCCCCAAGTAATGATTCAAAAATAATATCCATGAGCATTAATTTGAATATTTTTAAAACAGAAGCGGAGGAAGCACGAACCACGTCTTCCTTCCTTGATTTTCCCGAAGCAACGGGCACTGGTAGCAAGCTCAACTCCTACCTGAAACTGTGAGGTGGCCTCCCCCGTGAAGGGGAGGTCAGTACTTGGAAGCATTTGACAAGTACAATGACAACTATACTAAGTATAATCAACGTTTTAATTTCCAAGACCCTCAAAATAGGGTGATATCGTAATATAAATAATAATTTATATTTCCCACTTATTATCTCTATAATAAGTAAATTTATTTATTTGTCGGCACACGGCCCATTTCATATATTTCATTATACCCGTCGTTAGCACGACACCGCCCGTAGGTCTTATCATCCTTTACGAGACTTGTCACCGCTCTCCGAGGCCTCATCGGGCCCTCGGGCCTGTAATACCCGAGATTAATATAAGAGGATTGATAGTACTACTCATACCAACAGAGGTGCATCTCCTTTTAAGGGAGCTCATTACCCAAGAACTCCAAAGTTAAGCGTGCTCGCACGGGAGTAGTCTTGGGATGGGTGACCCCCTGGGAAGTTTCTCAGGGCGCGCATGAGTGAGGACAAAGTGCACGGTAAAGGCTCGTGGTGGTTTGTGGGGACAGTACTATTGGTCCGGAGTAACTACCTCGGGTCCGGTGGGGCCGGGGTGTTACAGGTGGTATCAGAGCAACCCCGCGACAGTGTGATGACCCGTTGGATATCGGGCGGGCACTTAGCGGGGGAAGATTCTGGGATTTGATTGAGATTTGAGATTGGTTCAAGGGCGCAACGAGGACGTTGCGATCCTAAGTGGGGGTGATTGTAACACTTGAGATTTAATATAAATGGATTAATAGTACTACTCATACCAACAGAGGTGCATCTCCTTTTAAGGGAGCTCATTAGCCAAGAACTCCAAAGTTAAGCGTGCTCGCACGGGAGTAGTCTTGGGATGGGTGACCCCCTGGGAAGTTTCTCAGGGCGCGCACGAGTGAGGACAAAGTGCGCGGTAAAGGCTTGTGGTGGTTTGTGAGGACAGTACTATTGGTCCGAAGTAACTACCTCGGGTCCGGTGGGGCCGGGGTGTTACAGGGCCGGAGTCCAACATCCCGCCCCTGAACTCATACCCATCATCCCGTAGGAAGGTAAGGTCCATTCGGGGTCCTATCTTAAGTGTTACCGCTGTCGGGAGCCTCGTAAGGTCTCCGGTTCGGATTCCACCCTAACCCGTGATCACGATGTAAGTCCATGCTATCCAACCCCGCTCTCTAGAGTCGGGAAGGGCCATGGTCCTTACTAATTACCAATACTCTATCGGCTAATCCTTAAAGACTACCGAATACACCCGTAGGCCAACCCTATTCCTAGGATCAATTTATTATTCACTTTATCTTGGGTATCCCTTAAGGCCTACCCCTAGCATCACTTATCCACCTTAGTATCTCTTAAGACTACTTAAGGCTCAACAATTTACAATCCAAACCTTGGATCAATTCTAACATATTTCATTCCAAAACCCCGACTAGTATCATAATACTAGTCGGATAAATTCCAACAAAACTCATTTTCAATTCATAGTCATATAGACAATTTCCAAACTAATTTTCCATTGAAAATATAGTTCGTATCAATATACAAAATATAACCTTTAATCACTCATATATCCTTATATGAAGTTTAAGTTATATTTCAACACAATATTTATAATTAATCCCTTCATCAAGCCAATATGCTCATATTACATAATCATACACAATTTATCCTTAAATTTGTATATTATGCTCCTTTATGCATTGACAACAATATTTTCATTTAGGCATTATAAATCATTAATAATCCATGAAAATCACATTTAATTACTTTAGGTAATCCTACGAAATTAACCCAAAGATTATAAGCAACATAGTCAGCCATCCTCACCTTATGAAGTGCTGAAATAGTTGTCCTTGTTAAGCCCTTCGATCAATCCCCGTTCTAAACCGTTTGGAGATGAAAAATCTGGGCAGCAGACGAAAGCCGGGCGGCTTTCTTGAAAGGTGGGCGGCTTTCGTGGTCTGCAGCTACGAACAGCCTCCTATACTTGGCGGTTTCCGGCGATTTCAACTCCTATCGATTCCACGACTCTTCTAAGTTAAATACCACCACTTTATAACATTATTCTACACTTTTAAACGTGTAGAACTTCATGTTTAATCCACCATATGATTTATTAAAAATCATATAAAATAATACTAGTTAGCTCATACTAGTTGGATTCTTACCTCAAATCCTAGCCCTTTTTGTTCTTGGATTCCCTTTTCTTCTTGGTTCCTCAAGCTCCAGAATATCTTGAGAGCTCCTCAAGTCCTCTCCCTCTTCCTCTCTTGTGTGGTTGGATCGAATGATTGGGATGGAGTGGGGGAGTGGTTTTACTCACAACTCAATCACTCATGTGATGAGTCCAAAAAGGGAATTAATGGGTGGGTGTGGTTTTTTGTCTCAATGAGACTTCCTCATGCACTCCCCTACCCCTTAGCTTGTCAATCTGGGTACCTAAAAACATGGGGTGGTCCCCCCTCATGTGGGAGGTCATCCCATTATGTCTCGGTGTGTATAATCGGCCCCGAAAGTTGTATTTCCTCGGACTGTTTTAACTATATTTTATTCTATCGGGCCAAATGAAACATATCACGCGTTCCTAATAATCATGGGCCTTTAGAGGAGATGTATGTTCCCCAACATTAATTTAGGAGTCCCCGAAATTCATTTCGGGCCGTTATCCGATAAATTACCAATACCGGTAATTGGGCCTCGTTTGACCAACAGGTCAACTCCATGCCCTTTCCATGGCCCATCTAAATATTTGGGAGTCCATTTCCATTATTAGGGACCCGATAAATAATTTAATTAATCACGCATTAATTAAATATACCACTCCGTTACACGATTTTATTCGCTAGGAAATTCAATTACATATCAAATTTTGAATTCAAGTCCATCCGGGTGCGGTGTCACAATTGATTACTCTTGACACGGTCACATAAAGTTGACTATGACTAAAAATAGATTTTTTTCAACAATAAATCAACACAGGATGACGACTGTTTTTTACTTTTGTTTATAACCGTAACATAAGAAATTAAGAATCATGTTTGGGTATTTTCGCATCCGGAATTTGAATAGAAAGCTAATATCCGAAGGTGTTCGGGAATGCCACAGAATGAACGACTTTTGCCCCACACTAACTCTTGTTGAAATATTTCCTTCTAGTAAAATGTTTTGCTAGTCATTCATTCGTGCGATGCACAGATGAGTTTGGCAAACATTTTTTTTTTCATTTTCAAATGTTGATATATATTAATTGAAGGCAAAGTATTTATAATGATTGAGTAATATGATGACTTTACATTTTAGATGAATTGCCTTTGTAAACAGGCAAGTCGAGGGGTGCAAATATGTGAAAATGTGTTATGCCATTCTTAAACTATACTTAAATATAAATTTATGTGAAAATGTTCTTATAGGTCTTTATACGGAATACTATTGTAGAGGATAAATTTAAGTGTTTTTGCATTTTTTAAATAATTACATAATTATAACTAAAGAAAGTCTGCTTATGGAAATGTGGCCTCTTAAACATAATTACTATA